TTTTTTTTTTCTTAGGAGCTATGTATAATTTGTATTGTTTATATGAAAGTATTAAAAAAAATTTTTTTATACTTTTTAATTTGCTTAATATGGTTTATTATTAATTACATTTCTTATCATATTCAAAAATTCTTATAAATACTATTGCTAATTAAAAAATTTATCTATAGTAGATTGTTTTATTAAATTTATCATTTTCAAGTTAATATATTTATTAAGAGTAGTAATATTTTTTAATAACTCTTTAGAATCTTCCTACTATTGTAAAAAAAATTGAACAATTTCTAAAAATCTTAAAGCATCTTGAATATTTATAATTAAAGGTTCTGTACTATCATCATCTTTGTCATAATTATTATCTTGTACTTCTAATAGTTTTTTATATAATTCAACAAGCTCTTCAATAATTTTATCATCATCAGAAACTTCATAGATTATTTTTTTTTGTAGGTGATTTAAAAATTCTTCTGCTAACATTGGATTAGATAAGTTAAAAGCTAAAATTTTTTGGTTAAGTTCTCTCAAAGTTGGAGTATTATCATTAAAAGAAGAAACTGATTCAATATTAGAGACTTGAGAAAGGATTTTAGTATGATTCTAGCAGTTATAAATAGTTTTTGATATTATTTCTTCCTAGCTTTTAATAATGTAGTTTATCACTTGCAATATGTTCATTTTTAGATTTTTAATATTTTTACCTTCTTGAACTTTATTTAGAATCTATCTAATATACAAACTATGCTAATGTCTTTTTATTGACAATATAATTTCAGCATTTATTGGCTGGATTTTTGAGTTTATATCCTTTAAGTTTATTCTCTTTGAGTTATATTTAGGTTTTATCTAAGTTTTATTTGAGTTTTATCTTTTGTATACACATATCCTTACCCTCTTCATGTTAAGTCAAGTAGTATAGTTAGCAAGGCCAGCTTTTTATATTACAATATAAAAATTTCTTAGATTGATAGTAATTTTTTTAACTTATAACAATAACATTACAAGAATACTTTATAAATTCATATATGTTTAGAAAAAGTAGAGATAGATTTTAGTAAATCGATAAATTATATTTGAAACTATGTTAAAAAAATTTATACATTATATTGTATATAAATAGTAAAAAGACTTATGATTGTATAACAATCTGATTGGTTAATTAACAAGCATCATGTGTAGCTAATAGAATTTTTTCTTCTATAAATGCATCCCTCTATAAATACACAGTTTGGCTTATTCCCAAAGGGGTGTATTTATAGAGAGTTGACTGTAATTAGAAAGGTTGTGACTTGAGATACAGATCAGGTTATGGCAGTATCTAAAAGGATAGCTTGAGATACGAATCTAGTGGTGGCAGCACAACATGTACTAATTGAGAAAAAGTTACTGAACATGTAGGTGAGTACATGTGTGAGACATATACCACTCTGTTAGGTTTACTATAAGGATAAATGCCCTAATATGGTTTGGCTAAAGTCTTAGAGTCATTCATGGCAATGGCTAATCTTATATGAGAGGGTAGAGCATATTACAAAAGTAGTAGCCAAAGGATTTAAATGGGTAACTCCCTAGTTGGGTTATAGGTATGGCAGCTAGTATAGAATCTAGGGCAGACTACTTAAATAGGCAACCAAAAGTTGTATGTATAGCTAGTCATACTCTCATTAAAAATAACCAAAGAGCTTAAATA